ACTGTTACTTAATAACATTCAGCATGTTAGCATAGAGTGGTGGCTTTGGAATCAATCAAAATTTGTCTCAGTCCTGACTCTTAAGTTTCCAGCTCTGGGACCTTAAGTGAAATGCTTCGTTTCTCTTGTCCTCAGACCTCTTATCTATAAAAATAGGAATAGGTGGGTTCATTTACTACTGTGGAAAGTGCTTAAGACAGAGGAGGTGCTCGGTAAGCATTTCTCATGTTCCGTTCTACTTTCTTAACATATCACAGAACAGTAGAAAAATATCATTTCAAGAACATCATTGACTCTGGGACAGCCATGCTATGTTGAGAAGATGTTATTACAAGTGGCCTTTGTGGCTGCGGCTGGCTGTTGTGGGTATGCCCTTTGAGCCCCCAGGAAACGGCTGCGGGCCTGGACTGTAACCAGAGCTCACGGGAGAGTCGTGGTTCCCTGCCCTTCCATCTTAGCAATTGGCTCATGTTGCCAGTTTTCATTTTGCCTGACTTTGATGACTGGGTAATTCTCAAGCCTGCAGTCTAGCTGGGATTCTGTCTTTTTAATCTTGAACAACCTCTTTTTTTGAGATATAAGTTTATCTTGGGGCTGAAGAAGGACCCACAGTCTTAGAAATCTACTGGACAGTTTAATGGATCACAGCACAGCTCTTATTATTTTATTCTCTAATCTCTTAACATATGTGCCTACCACTTACATAAGCTTTTTGGTTTCCTGGGTTTGTAAGAAATTCAAGTGTACTCATTTCATCATTCTATCTTCGTGTTCTGCTTGATCACCCAGAATGGGAAAAGGGGACAGTGGCCAAAGCTGACAGAAAGTTGTGTCATGAACTGAATTCTTTCATTATCAATAAACTTGGTAATTCTTATTGGTTCATGGTAGTAATAGGGCAGGTCATATTTCCGTGGTGATCAAAGTAATTCAATCTCTCTCCTTTCATTTCTGTTACCCCTTAGTAGTCTAAATACTTTAACTGGATCTAAGGGTAGTATTAAGGCATCTCTTCTAAGACCTGATGAAAAATGTGCCTGTCTCCTTTAAGAGCTGATGATAAATGTGCCTTAAGTCTATTACATATTAATAGTTTAGCAAGATATTTTTAGCAACTCTGGAATGAGTTTCATGCTTGCTTCAACACCTAGCTTCATGCACTATTATACTTTAATTTTAGTAGACCTCCAACTTTAAAAGATGTAATACATGGTTGCTAACCAATTATTTCTTTGAGTTATGCCATTATTTTTTTCTGGATGTCCATTTGTGAATATTAAAGGATTTTTGTAATTTTCTGATACATGTTTAAAATATGAGGTTTGCCTGAAATCACTTAGGGAACCATTTTCCACGGTTCATTAAAATGGAAAGGAGGAGAAATAAATGTGAATTAAAATCTATTTTCATTTGTGTTGTTAGCATTCTTCTCTCTATGGGATATGTCTTTTGGGAAAGAATCATTGCATCCAGCTTTAGTAATTCTAGGAAATTGGAAATACAGGGGGGAAAAGAGTTCATCACCTTGTCTGGGCATTATATTTATTATGGTGAGAGCCATGTAAGAGGATATCCTACATCCAGGGCACTAGCCATTCAAGATTATAGAGCAAATTGATGGAAAGATCAAGATTAAGAAAGAATTCTAGGTTTAAAGTGTTCTTTAGACCCTATGTCTTCTGGTAAATGGGTTTTCTACATTAGGGATGGTATCTTGTTCATGTGTCGGTTTCTAGAAGCTTCCACAGTGCCTGTCAAGGAGTTCAGTAGGTGCTTTGTAAACGTGAAATGAATGGAAGTAAGATGCCACAAGAGTGATGATATGAAGCCTTGGAATGCTGAGAAGAGAAATAAAACCAAGGCATTCAAAGATGGGATGAAAACAGCTAAACAGTTGTATGTTCAGTTGACATGGGAGGGGTGGTGCATTTTCAAGAGTGTTCTTGTGATATTCTTGCTGGTCAATGCTGCAAAAGGGCAACTCTTGAGGTGATTTAGAGCAGCCGTAGGTTGGGTGGTGTTCCTGTGATGAAATAAAGCAACAGTTCTTTCCCAGTACCTGTTCATAATGAGGTAACAGACGGAATATTCCCTGTGGGCTTTTTTTCCCCTTAATCGGGCACTTGCTATTTTTGGTCAGTACTGAAAACTAACATATAAAGTCATCTCTGCAAAAGATGTTAGTATGATGGTTATTTTAAGTGTAACGAGTCCGTACTTTATAGAGTTCTACAGAGAGCTCTGTGGCTTCCCCAGGCTCAGCTAACAAGTTTGGGAACTGCTGTCCCAGAGTGTTAATGAAACAAAGATCCCCTGGGACCAGTGAAGAGGAGACTTCACAGGAGCTTCTGACAACCAATCTAGGAATGGTGTCCTGTAGGAGACAGTCATTATGTTGCTTTTGTCGGTTCCCTGGGGCCTAGTAGCTTATCTGACACTGTTATCTATTCAGTAAAGAAGAATCCCATTGCTTCATTTACTCAGCTTACCAACCTTTTGAAACAAGCCAGCCATTGGGATGGGGGTGGGGAAGTTTCTGTTAAGTGGGATTGTGTGAGTGTGACAGTAGTGTGGCCATAGCCAGATTCAGGATGGCAGCTGAGAGAGAGGAAGGCAAGTGGTTTGTTTTCTTTTGTCAGGCTGCCCCTGCCCAGTTTTTTAGAACTTGTTTCTACCTAAAAGCTTTCTCTTTAACTAGAACTTGTGAAGTATTGGCTTTTTTTTTTTTTTTTTTTTTTTTGAGCTGATTCAGACAATTAGATGAGTAATAAAGAACGTTAGTTCTGGTCTGTCATAATGATTTTTAAAAGTCTCCCCTGTTAAAAGGAGAAAAAAATAAGTTGTCGTGATGATTCATCTTTATATAATCCGGTACACATGCAAGTTTTAAGTTGTTTGGTATTTCAATAAGTGAATATATTACATAGGCCCAGACTGCAGAAGGCGTAGGAAGGGCGGATTGGGAGTGTGTATAGACTAGGCCACAAGGGTGGGAGTTAAAAATGGGCCTATCTACCTTATAACATTTATTTTCTTTGAAGCAAGTTGCAAATCTTTAACAAAGTATTGATTGGCATTTCTGGGTAAAGAGTTGCTACATTTTATTTCAGTTTAATTAGAAGATCAGTGGTGTGGGAACAGTGTGAAGAGGGGAAGGGGCAGAATGGAAATTCTCTTTTTAGACTGAAGTTTAGTAGAAGGTTCAGATGCTGGAAAGTGATGACTGGCAGGGTATGTTTCGTAAAGCTAGCAAATTATTCCAAGAAGTGGAGGCGGCAGGCTAAAAACTATGGGATCTCAAAGGACAGCAAGCCTTAGAATAGAGGGTGTTAAAAGAGCTTTAAACATAGGTTGGAAGTTCAATAAATGTTAGTTTCTCCGTTTTTTATTTTCCCCGTCTACTGCAATGGGAAATGATAATGGTTCTCTATTGTGCTTAAGCATATGTGGGTGATGGTGCTGCTTCCTGGATTGCTAGGAAAAATTAGCTCCTGCAATTCAATCATTCAGCAAATACTTATTAAGTCAACATAGATACATAATATCTAAATAAGTAGAAAAATAAACATCTTTATGCAAGGTTGTGTGCTAGCTGCCACAAAAGCAAAGCAGTATAAGCTGCCAGCCCTTCCTCGAGGAGCTTGTGGACTCCTTGGGGGAAATGCACGCACAGAAAAGCAGCCCACAGTGCAGGGGTCCCAGGTGTTTCCATGCTAACTGTAGCAAAACCAAAGCGGACTAAAGAGGAGCAAACCCTGGCAGGAGGCGCTTCACTGGAGAGGTGACTGCCCAAACCTAGACTTGGAAATCTGGCAGGCTTCAGGAGAGTGTCACAGAAGATAGAGGGCTTTTAAAATGGAAAATGGTGTGAGCAGAAGTAGGGTATGAGTGGGCGGCTCTTCTGACAAGTAGATCTTGCTAAATTGAAGAAGCCTTGCAGGGAGGTGGAAAGAGAATACTAGAAACCTACTGGAGACAGACTGGCCAGCTGGCTGTTGGAAGGGCCGAGGTTGGCTTGACTCACATAAGCAATCAGGGACCTGCTATAAGTGGAAGGTGTTAGGGTGTGAGCTAGTGCACGTGGGTTTTGAGAAAAATTTCTCCAGACAAAGATTAGGATAGAAAGAAGAAAAGGTTTATTTTACTTTTTCAGATAGAAAATGGCCAACAGGCAAGTTAAAAGGCAGGAGATAATGTTGCCGGAGAGAACCAGGTCCTCAGGCTTTTTATTTAGGCCTTCTAAAGGGAGTGGAGAAGATTGATGGCTGTAGCCAAATTAACAGGGGTACTGTGAACTGTTGTATCTACTTTTTTTTCTTCCATAGTGGCAGGCTGATAACAAAAGCAGCTGCCTATCCTTTGCAGACAGACACATTTCCTTTCTGTCTGCTCAGCTCTTTTCAGATGTTGTGAAAATGGAACCCCTTGAGGTATCTATGAGAGAGAGAGAGAGAGAGAGAGAGCGCCCGTATGATTGATTTTAGCTCTTACTATGAATTAAGTAATTTTTCTGCTATTTTGTTATTAAGGCTGTCCTTTCAGAAGGGGTGCTGCGGTTTGCAGGATGGCCTGAAGGGGGTGTGACTAGAGGGAAGGAAATCCACTGAGAAGTGGAAACAGCAGTTCAGGGTATACTGAGTTAGGGTGGTGAAAATGGAAACGAAAAGGGTAGGAGAAATGGAATCCAAATCACATTAAGAATAAAGTGACAAGTACAAAAAAAAAAAACCCAAAACCTAGTCTTTCTGTAGTACTTTTGTTGGCTGTGCTAAGTTGGGAGCTGTTCTAGTAGAATATCCTGTGCTCTTGATGTGAATGTTGACCAGATGTTTACACTGAGCAAGAATAAGGATGGCCATATGGCCCCATGACTTGAGACTTTAGCTCATTTTTTAACATGGACAATTCCTGGGCCTGTTATCATTGCATATATTTTGCCCTTTGGGGACAAAGGTTACTGTTTGGTTCTAATTTCTTCTTTTTCTTTGTTTTAAAAATAGACTCTATCGAGAAGAATTTCCAATCCATATCTCGAACATACTCCTTCCCAGGTATGATTCTTTTCTCTTACTGCATTTTCTGTAATAGTAATCGACAAACTCTGGTGTAGAATTCTCTGCTTCTAGCTGTCCATGTTGCTCCTGACCTCATGGAGTCTGCAGGATTGCTGCAGTGAGCACATCATCTCTTCCCCTAGGGATGGCACAGCAGAGGTGTTCAAGATGCTCTGATCATTGTGTCATGATTCAAGATGTTCACTAGATAAGAAAAAAAATATTTTCCCATCTTCCAAATGCTTCACATGAGCAAATTGTCAATGTGGCAGAGTAAATATATAATATAAATATTTTCCAAATTGCTGTATTGATAGAAAGACTATATTTTACAAACAGTGTATATTTTACACTGAAAACTTTGTGTAAAAAGAGATTTATATTTATTGTTATCTATTAGTGGACTATCTCCCGTGTTCTTATTGGTAAGAAAAGATGAAGTATCATCATTGTGTTGCATCAAAGACTCAATTGACAAAGAGTTGCATTTTTTTTAGGCTACCAAGAGACGGTGAACTTTGTGAGGGCTGGGGCCTCTTCTACCTTTTTTTTTTTTTCCCCCTGAGACAGAGTGTCACTCTCTTGCCCAGGCTAGAGTGCCGTGGCGTCAGCCTAGCTCACAGCAATCTCAAACTCCTGGGCTCAAGCAATCCTTCTGCCTCAGCCTCCTGAGTAGCTGGGATTACAGGCATGCACCACTATGCCTGGCTAATTTTATATATATATATTTTTAGTTGGCCAATTCATTTCTTTCTATTTTTAGTAGAGACAGGGTCTTGCTCTTGCTCAGGCTGGTCTCGAACTCCTGACCTTGAGCGATCCGCCCGCCTCAGCCTCCCAGAGTGCTAGGATTACAGGCGTGAGCCACCGCGCCCGGCCTCTTCTACCTTTCTGACCACTGTATCTCCAGCATTGAGAACAGATCTGACATTTGACAGCTGCTCATTAGATGCTTTTTGAATGACTGAGTGAGTGAACATCCTATGATGTCAGGACCAGTCAAGTGTTGGCTGACTCATACCTCTTCCTTGGTAATGCTTTCTGTCATTTGGCTTGTTCAAGCTTTCCTTTTTAAAAAGATAGTTTTAACATGTTAAAAATAATTTCATGTCCTTGTCACTTTCTCCTCTGGTTGTAGTGAGGAGGTGATATCAGGAAAATTAAAGAAGTGTAAGGATGACGGGGTTGATGTGTTCCCTGTCAAGTCATAATCAGCATATTATCAATTTGTTTGCTTTGAGAGAAGATATATATTTTGTAGGTGCAGAGAGAGTCGCCAAGAAAAAAATTAAAATGATGTAAGCATTTACATGTTAGCATGTAATATAAAATTAACATACATTTTCATGAGCCTTTACCTTATGAACATGGCTCATTTCCATTTAGCCTCCTTAACAGAATTGAGCTGTGGAGGAAGGTGCTAATTATAGATGAGGAGGTAGTATTATTAATGTGAAGTAGGACCTAGACTTCTAGATCTAAGGAATACCCTCCTTCATCCTCCAAGAATCAGAGACTCATATGGGGGAATTAGAAGATTAAAAAAAGAAGTTAAATGAAATTTTTATCTGATAGATGGAATCGTGAAGTAGATAAAACCAGGATGCCTGGAATTAACTATGAGCTCTGCAGTCGAGTGAAGCTTACGAGCAAAGCAGCCTGCTGTCAAATGGTGTCATGTTCACTGGATAGGAAAAATATTTTCCCATCTTCCCAGTCCTTTATAGGATTGCATTGTCAATATGGCAGAGTTAATACATAATGTAAATATTCTTCAATTTGCTGTGTTGATAGAAACACTGTATTTAAAAAATAGTGGATATTTTACACTGAACTTTGTGTGGAAGGAGATTACTTATAATTGTAGTTGAATCAGTTTAGCATTTGGAAAACAGTGTAAGTGGACTAGTAGCTAAAATAAAATAAGGTAGTTAAAGGTCTATAGCTATATAAGCTAAAATGTGTCTCAAGTTTAGGGACTTGGTCATAATTTTTTATATAAAACATGCTATTGGTAGCTCACAAATTGTCACATTATTGTTATGTATTTACAGTGAATGTTTTTCCATCTAGATTTATGGGGAGAATTCTTCTTGTGCAGGAAGAGCGTTGAGGAATATTATTATTGTTCAAGCAGCTGACCTGATAAAGGACAGAGTGAACCTCAAGGGGTTTTACAGGTAACACAGTTTTCTAACACCTTGTCAAAAATTCTCCTTGCAGGAAGAAAAAACCCAACTTGTGTTAAAATTGTAACCTTGATCAAGGAGAGGTGGGCTATATCAGTAGTAGGAGGGGTTGGTTGATTCTGTCTCTTGAGGTTACTGGTGGTGACTTTTGTTAAACTTAGCTGTGTATTTGTTTAGTTAGACTCCTAATGCTGAAGTTAGGGTATGGAATTCCCAGCCACAAGCATGGATGGGTTCCTGAGAGAGTCCTTGCTTTGCTTCCTCTGAGATAATGATATTTCATAATATTTTTTGGCTGTGTGCTGCACTAGGGACTTCAGTATGGATTTCTTCTTGAGGAACCTTATCAAGGCTCTGCAAGGACTCCTTGGAGGTCTGTGGGCAGAGAGAACTGTCTAACTCTTGATGAGAGTGAGCCTTCTCCTCAGGTACATAAGCAGAAGGGAGAGGCAGGTCGGCATAGCATGGCAGCTGTCTATCTTGGCTAGTGAACAAGGACAGAGGTTTTAGAGTAAACAGCTGGACCACACACGTGGTCACTTAGAAAGCTTGGTGTGTGTGTTTTCATTGTATGGAAGAGTTTAAAGGAAAAACCAAAAGTGAATTACCAGCTTTTTATTTTGCCAAGTCAAGATATTAAACCACACCAAACATTACCCAAAGAAAACCAGACAAAAAGAAAGACACCAGTACTATTTGTTATCATTATTTTTTAAAGAAACAACATTATAATACCATAATGAGTAGGAAGAATACTCAGAATACATGACACACAAAAAAGTAGGAAGTAGTCTCAGAATAAATGGTGTCCCTTTAAGTTAAATAAATTTAGCTTTATGATAAACTTATTATAATATTCCTGTATTTTTCCATCTGCCACAGATGGGAAAAATTTCATCATGGCCTGGATTTTTGGGATGATGATTCCCAGACTATTGGAGTAAGAAGACCCCTTTTCTATTGAGGCATAATTTATATAATAAAATGCACAAATCTTAAGTGTATAGTTTGATGAATTTTTATGTGTTACACACCTGTGTAACCATTATCAAGAGACAGAGGATTTTTATTCCCCAGAAAGTTCCTTCATGCCTCCTCCTAGTTAGTAACCATTCCCTGCAACCAACTATTTTTTTTTCCACATCAAAAACTCAGCAGAATCTGTATTCTTATGAGCCATTATATAAGCAAATACAAAGTGTGGAGAGAGACCACAGTGAATTAACACTTTGAAATCCTATATTTAATTAATCATTAACATTTACATAAGTTTTGAAAAATATGCCATAGGCTACATACCTTTTCTGTTTATAAACAATGCTCTTGCATGTATGGACTCATGAAGCTCTTGAAAAAGCTCCAACATCTACCCTTTTCCTTCCTTAGACATTCATAGCTCAGAGTCTAAGAACCATTAGTTTAGAGCCCAGTCCAAGTCGACAGAACAGGTACTGTATTGATTGGATCACTTCACAGAACTTCATTTTTATCTTTTAATAGATGATGGCATCGCCTTTAGACACATGTGATTTTTCCTTTCCTTTTTTTTTTTTAATGAAAATTGTATGTAAGTCTTAGAGTTTAATTGTGAGCAAGCACCTATGGAATTCATTTTAATTGCTGTGTAAGGTCACATAGGAGATCTATCATCATGCTCAGGTTTTTTTTTTCTTTATGGGAGCTCCATGATATAGATTGAAAAAGTAATTGGGAGATGTACATTAATCAGGTTCATGAGAAAAGAACCGTCTATCCAAGTCTGCACAGATTTAAAATGTCGTGGGAGTAGAATGAGACAAGAGCATGTATTTTGCTGTGATAGGGCCAGAATCACCTTTCATGATCTAAGGACTGATTAGTGTTCTGGATTTAAACATGAACTGCTCATACAGTTGCCAAGCATGGATCACTTTCATTTGTCTGGTAGTAAATTGCGGTAAAGTGTTCACCATATACCACATGAGAATTCACTTTTAAAACTTTGAAATGTTTTCTATTCATTTTTTACCATATGAAGAATCACATTGGCTTCTGAGTCTTTGTTTCCTTGAAACAAAGTATTTAGTGAAGTCACTAAATACCATCACCCTGACTCTAGAACTTGGTTGAATTCATGTTTTGTTATAGCAATCGCATGGGCTTTGTAGCTAATCACCTCCATTTCACAATGTTCCTACCTAGTAATGCAACTGTAGTTAGATCTACATGTACTTGGAACAGTTTCTGGATTGAGTACAAGACTGAAAATATCCTGTGGGTAAGAACTGCTGCCTGTATTTAGATTGCTCTATTCCAACCATCTCTGTTTTCTTCCTCACTGCTCTCCCCTAAGTCCTGTGCGTTTAGGTTTTTCAATCAAATTGTTGAAGACCTGGTCAGCAAATCAGGGGACTAGGGGGTTATTATAAATAAAGAAGCAAGGCACCGCACTTTGTTCACTTAGGTGATACTAATGACGGTGTTTACCCTTACCGCTGCTGTTTTCCCTGGTCCAGATGGATCGTTGAAAGCGATTTGAAACATAACTTGATAAAGTTAGGGGAGAGGGTAGTGCAACGGAAACAGCAGCTTTCTCTGAGAGTGGGGGGCCCAGTTTTTAATGTTACCATGGCAATACTGTGTTTTAGCATATTGACTCAGAGCACCCCCTTCCAAAACAAACAAACAAACAAACAAAAATCAAAACAGCCCTTCTCAGTGAGGAGGGAGAGCCAGGACATTGGGGCTCTGTTGTGGTCACCAGTGCCACCTGAGAGCCTGTTAGGAATGCACAATCTCAGGTTCCACTCAGCCTCACTGCATCAGAATCTATACTTTAACAAGATCCCCCAGGTGACTCCCAAGCACAGTTTTTAAGAAGCTTCTTCATTGTCACCTGTGAACAAATAAGCAGATGCATGCATCAAGCCACCTTTTGCAATTTGGCAGTTTAGTTTGTTTAGTAAATATTTCATTATGTGCTTTCATGTTCCAGGTGATGTCAGACACTCAGCAGGCTGAGGAGCTACATTGTTTTGAGAATATGAACTAAGGTGATACAGTATCTAATCCATGGGATAAAAGTGCTTTCAAAGCCCTAAGAAGCTAGCTAATTGACAGAGGTGTTGAGGAATTAATTAGTTAATTAACACTTTGAACCTTTCACATGAAAGGTGTCCTATAGAATTAGAGGTTAATCTTGGCTATTTGATCTAATTGCCTGTTTTGTTGCCATCTGTTTTCCCATTTTGTTTTTTTTTTTAAAATCCATATATTTGACTGTTAATCTTTCTATTGTATTAATGCTAACCTGCACCTGAACATGTCTAGAATTGGCTTAATTGCCTTAGCATATCTTTCAAATAGTGATACTTCATCACAAAAAGGTGCTTTATCAAAAGTTAGAATATTTGATTAAATATCTCAGCAGAAAAGTTCACCACCTTATCTTTCTTCACCTCAGGATGTATAGCACCTCATGGCATTTCTTCATGTTATTGGTTACAGTGTGATTCCAGGGTATTTGTGACTATGCCAATCCCAAGAGATAGCAAATAGGCAATATCTCTCTACTTTAGGAATACAAAAAAATGTTGACATCTCTTGATCCTTCAATCCTGACTGTAGAATAAAGATAGCCATTACATGATACATCATTTTATAAAAACTTTTTGATCTTTTTCATAAGGGAGAGTGGAATTCAATGACATTTTTGCAAAATGAAAAAACAAATTTCAGAAAGTTTTTTTTTTTTTTTCATCTGAGGATGATGCAAATGAAAAAGTAGGTATGAAGATGCTGGTTGTAATACTCAGGTTATGGAATTTTTTGAATATTTTGTGTTTTAAGGTAGATGACTCTTTATGTGTGATTAGTGGAATCCAACACATCCATCTGGGTTTATGGGTTTATGATCTAGGCTGCTTAACTAGGTTGCTTAGATTATATTAAAAAAGATTAGCAATCAAATGTATTGTTTCTTGAAATATATTTTAGGAGAATAAAACAAAATTCTATACCACTGATTGTGGTCCCAATTTTGTCTAACCTGTGAATTATCTTGTTCTCAAAGGGCCTAGATAAAAATCTATAAATGGTTGAACCAAAGTTTATCACTACTAACTTGAGGTATGTAGCTTACCAGGATAAAAGCATTATATGTATATAAAAGGCTGCTATAGCTTGTTCCTTCATTTATTCAAATATATTTTGAGAATTTACTGTATACCATGCATAGGCTGTTCTAATTTGGGGAGATTAATATAGAGTTATATAAAGTCCCTATTCGCCTGGAAATTATTTTCTAGTGGGGGAAGCAGATATTTATTTGGAAAGATGTATAATTACTAAATCTTAGTTGACTTAAAGAAAAAGTGTAAGAGAATTTGACTCTTAAGTTTTGCAAAGGAAGTGATATTTGAGCTTTAATCTGTACAATGAATAAGGAGTATGTTGTTTATTCTTGGGTTCCTTGTTTAAAAAAGCAAACACATGAAAGGAACAGTATTAAATATCAATTTTTGGCAAATGGGTGGCAACAATATCTTACTGTGAATGTCTTTGCTTTTGTCTAGGAGAAGCTGTGTTGGGTCGGAACTGGTAGACTGGCTTCTGGAACACTGTCCTTTTGTCCAGTGCAGATCTATGGCCGTAGGGGTCTGGCAGCTCCTACTGGACATGGGAATTATGATATCAGGTTAGTATTATATGTTTTGAAGGCATGGCATCATTATTAAGCTATCAGATGAAAATATACTTTATTTTCTAGAGAATATTATCTGGATGGAAATTATTTTTGAGGGTAAACATTTATATTCTCTTATTTTCTAGGTAAAAGCGACAGGTCATCTTTTGATTCACTTATTTCTCTCACTCCTTTTGTAAAAATATGTAGGTCCTTATTGATTCATAGGCTAATAACTGTTAGAGTCTTTCCCTTACCCCTTTCTTTTGCTACTCAAAATGCACACAAACTCTTTTTTTTTTTAATCAGTGACGTCTTTAGTTGCTCTAAATATGTGATTTGTCTTGTTGTACTTAGAGTAATCATCAGAAGCTGATTTTGTGCGTGGAATATGTATGTCATTTAATTGACTGAGTAATCATGAACACTTAGAGATATGACCTATGAAAATTAGCTGTTTAAACAGAACAGAAAATAGATGTTAACTGGGAACTAAAATAGATGATGGATATTTCTTTTCTTAGTTGAGCCCAGGTAATTGAAGGATTAGAAACCAAGCAATCTGGGTTCTTTATTTAGCTCCATCTCTCAGGTGCTGGTTTTCTACAGATACTAAATGTCAAGGGCATTCCCCTAGTCCCATCATGAAAGAACAGTACATATGGGGATGTGGGTATAATCTTCTTAGACAGTCAATAATATCTAGCTCTTATATTCTTACTTAGAAAATCAATTAACTACTTAGGAGAAATGGAGGTGTTATTAGCTCACTTGCTAGTTTCAAGCTTCTGAGTTAGGAAAACATTTTGTATTAGTGCTTTTTGGAAAAGTTCACCTCTCGATTCCTTTAAAACAGAGTTTCCCAACCTTGGTAGTGTTGACATTTTAGGTTGGATAATTCTATGTTGTAAAGGGCCATCCTGTATGTTATAGGATTTTCAACACCATCCCTTTTTCTGCCCTTCAGATACCAGTAGCACCCCCCAACCCAGTTGTGACAACCTAAAATGTCTCTAGACATCACCAAATGTCCCCTATGGGGAGGCACAGTCACCCCCAGTTGAGAACCACTGATCTAAAACTTGCCATCCCATTGTATTTGTGTATCACTAAGGCAATTAAATCTATTCGTTTGTTTTGGGATACTAAAAAAACAAAACAAAACAATTTCATCTTCTTTGCATTGCTACTGATTTCATGTGCACTTGTCTCTGAAGCAGAAAATTATAAAATACATGTGAATATGCTGGCCAAAGCTTGAAGTCGTGGAAATAGACTAGCCAGTAAGTCATTTCCAATTCAATGGGATTATAAACATGAATGGGCTTAGAGTGTATAATCGTAATCTTACCCTAGCTTCTCCCTAGTAATTATTAGGGCTTTCAACTTATTATTTGATTTATGACTCTGAATAATATACTTTAAAAAACTGATTATACTTTTTTTGTTGTTTCAAACAGTGGACCAGCATCTATACTTTCAAGATACTTATGTTTTCTACCAGTTTTCCTCGGATGAATGTAGCTACTTGTACTGTGAATTCGAAAGAGAAGAAGAATGGCAAAACGGTGTGAAACTTCTACTGCAGCTTGTGCCTCTCATTCCCTCTAGAGCTGGCATCTGTGAACTGTAAGTAGATGCTATCTCGGGCCATTGTTAAACTATTCTTACTTAGACAGCGTCTACTGTGTCCAGGAACTATATGCTCCGCTCTTTAAGATAACTATCTCATTTAAGAGGTAACTGTACTAGTCCCATTTTTCACATGCAAGTTCGGAAAGGTAAAATAAATTGCTGAAAATTAAATCCAGCTAATAAATGCCTGAACTGATGTATTCACATCCCAGAAACGTCACCAGCTGTCCCCTGAGGCTTTCTAATTTATCATCGCTATATGAGTAGATGATCTAAATTAGGAATAAACATATGATTGGGCTTAAGTTGAATAAAATAACTCACATCCTATCCGCATCGTGACTTTCCTAAGAAAGAGCGCAACAGAACATTTCTGAAAATAATCTAGAAGCAACATTTGGCAAATTAAAACACATGAATCATTATCACATGAACATACTGAATCACTATATGATTAAAATGAATTAAAATTAATTAAAGAGGCTTGGGAACAGGACTTGAGTCATGATATGGTGATTCTGACATGCCTCTGTTTATCCATGAAGATAGTGACAAGCTTATTTCAGAACCATGAGTCACAGACTACATTTTCATATGTTAAAAACTTTTCATAAGTTAAAAACTTTTACATATGTAGAGCACTTCGACTTTTAGAGCCCTTTCCTGTATTGTTGACTCTTTCAGTTCTGTGATATTAGCAGAGCAAACAGAGCAAGCGGTATTTCATAGGTAAGAGAGGAGGTTCCGAGAGAAACACCTATATAACCATAACAAAGGTAAGTTACTCTTATTAGTCAAAAAATGACAACACTGGACAATTAATACGAACTGTTTTTAGGACAAGAAATAAATTTCAGATTATTAATGAGACACTGTGCTAATAGAAAAGTTGATTGTAGTATATGTTTTATGTCAAGCACTGTGCTAAATGCTTTATATTCATTTTTTTCGCTTTCAAAAGAATTCTATAAGATAAGTACTATTGTTATCCCTATTTTATAAGTGAGAAAACTGAGACACAGAGGTCTGGTAATCTGCCCAAGGTCATACAAGTGTCAAGTGGAGTCTTAGTGTTTGAATCTTTGTGTGTCTGGCTTTAGTGACCATTCTTTTGTCTTTTGCTATAATGTGTCCTCAGAAGTCATGGAGGTCATTCTAGCATCCCCTTCTGAAAAAGTGTAAACAGGCGCTATAAAAGTGTTAGACTAAGCTCTGAAATGGTTATGGATTTCCCACCACCACTGTTTATAGAGGGCTTTGCAGTGGTAAGGTGAAATTGAGATATCACTCAATTAGTCCGAGTATGGGAAATGTTCTTTATTGTAATATGCTATTTATATAGGTCAGAAGTGTCCTGAGAAAAGTCGAGGAGCAGTTCAATAAATTTTAAAGAGCTTTCTAAGAAGGAGTGGCATGCTTTTAAACTAGAGGTGGCTGCATTAGGCCCCTGTAATTTGCCATCTTCTAAGAGTCTTTAAAATAACTCGAGGCACAACCACTTAACGTCTCTACATAAACACAATTCAGTTCTGTACAAATGCATTTCTAAAAAGAAAAAAGGGAATTTTCTCCTTCAGGAAAGCATATTTAAAGCAAGAGGGGAAATTAAGCTGCTGCAGGTTTCTTGGCTAGTTTGAGGAAACAAAATCATTTTCTGTGCAAAATCACTTTTATATCCAAACAGAATAGGTAATTCACAAAAAGTGACTGAATAGGTTGTCAAGGGTACTATCTCTGGGGGAAAAAGAGCAGTCATGGTATCTCATTCTGACCTAAAGCCAAATCAACTTGCCCGGAATGTACTTTTTCTGACTCCTCTCTTTTGTTTCGTGCAGAGGGTGGGGGAGAGTCAGTGAGGAATGATGAAGTAACTGTGTAGGGAAAGGTGGCCTAATTGCTCCCTAAGGAGGGAAGCCTTGGAAGCCCTTCTCACACTGTTTGGGAATTCAGGCTGTGAAGAAGCTTGGCCATTTCAGTTCAGCTGCTGTGACAGCAGCTTCCAGCTTGCCAGGGTGAGAGTGGACAATCCAAATGGACAGTCTGTGAACCTTAAATACATAAACCTGTACCCTACCACTCCCATTTACATTCATGCCATGGTTAAGAGACTTGCAGAGGTTTGCTAAAATGTAATTCATTTGAAGAAAAATGTGGGTTCTTTGTTTTTCTCTACGTGATCTGATACTTGTTGACATGAGCCTCCATCCTGCTGGGTGGCCAGCAAGAAGGAAAAGAAGCCTCATAGTTTTAGTCTAACCCAGTAAAATTATTCTACATAGTAATTTTAAAAGTCTCTTAACTGTTTAGCACATGTTGGTAAAAGAGCTCAGTCTCTCTCTGTGTCTCCCTGCTTCTCAAGATAGCCTCTGGGTACGTGGTGAGTGGTGTGGGCCCACTGGCCTTGGCAGATGATGCGGGAGGCTTTCATGTCAGAGTGGATGCTTTCCTGCCTCAGTGGTCTTGGCTAGTGGGTGGGCAGCCAGCCTCCTGTGACCCCCGAGGTATAACTGGGCTTGGTGTTCTGTACATGGCTGCTGCTAGAGCCTGGGGCTGGGGTAAGCTGGGTTTCTGTCTCAGCTTGATCAATGCTTGGTGGTCCTGCCTGGCCGATCTGCCTTCCTGGTTGCCTCTTGGCATTGCTAATGCTCCTAAGGTCTGGCTGCAGTTCACATAGTAGACACCCCATTCAGCCTCTTGGCCTCTGCTGAAACAGCCTCCTCTCACCACCCCGATCTGGCTAATATTACCATAGCATGAAGATGATTTTTGGGAGATGCCTGTAATGAATTAAAAAAAAAAATAATTTTGCCAAAATGGTACTTATTTCTACTTGGCTGACACTTCTGAAGATTCCACAAATTTATTTTCATAAGCATAGATATCCAGAAGGGATTTCTAAGATAGTTGAATTTGTTTCTCTTAATTTTGGGGTGAGGAAAAGGAGCAGGGAGCAGAGGGTCTGTGAAAAGAGAATCACTTGTCACCAAGACTCTGCTGAGCGATTTTTTTTTCAGTGGGTACTTGCTGATGATCAGCTTTATGTAAAGAATTATGTTTGGCCCTGTGAGGGTTATGAAGATTGTAAATAATATAAGGCCTTCTGGGACTAAAAGGGGATGAGATCAATCCATACAGATAACAAGGTAGGAAGCAGTGTGCCATCAATGGAACACAGGAGCTTATCGTGAAGGTTCTGAAGCAATGGGAAAAATGAAAATGTTTTCTGAGAAATGAATATATCTTGTATATTTCTAAATTCATTGAAAATGAATTTAGAAAAATAATTCATTAAAAACAGGTAATTACTGTGTGGAATATTCAACTCTTCTCAGCTATCGAAGGTTATTTTTTATTATTATAGGTTATTCCTGCCTTTTGTGTTTTATATGTTTTTCTTATCTTGTTACACTCAAGAATAGAACTGACTCACATATTTTCAGCTTATCTACTCTTAATGTTTTTCCCTGAAAACCTTGACTTTTTGGCTTTTTGCTTATGAGAAGTTAAATATGGCAAGATGATCAATTGTGAGTTCCATTGAAGAGTCCTATAAATAATCTACTGATGGGGCTTCAGGTTCAGGCCATGATGGAGTAAATCTACTACAGCCTATCCCTTGTATTGGTGACAGTTAAAATCTCTAGATAAAATACAATAGCGAACTACTTGAGCTCTCTGAAAAGTAAACAGAAGCAGGCAGATTATGGAAAGAACTGAAACCTTGGGGAAGTGAGCTACACAGGTGTGAGTTTTTCCTTTTTGTGGTTTCATTTATTTTGCAGCTTTGCCTGAAAATCAGGCCCCAGTTATGGAGCACAAGGGACATGGTGGCACAGGTGTCAAGATCTCCAATAGAAACTGTTTCTGAGAAGAAGGATCAGGAAAATAGGCCCTTGTGTTGTTGGGGTGTGAGGTGTGTGTATGGAGAAATCCTTATCTTGATTCTACCTTTTTCTTGTTGCTTTGTCCCCGTTTCAGAGTTCTGGTGGTGGCTGTGCAGGCAACTATAAAAGATAATGAGAAACCCTGATTTGTTTTCATGTTTGGCCAAAAGAACTGGGCAAAGGGGCACCTCCTGCAAGCAGGAGAATATTAGGGAGTATAGGAAAGTGTAGGGCTAGAGAAAGGGATTCATCAGCTTTGAATATGAACTGCACAAATGTGGATTGACTCCTGAGCTGAACTTCTGTGGAATAGATGCAAGGACCGTAGAAAATGCTTTGAAAACCGAACTGAAATTGGAATCATTGAGGCTGCATATCATGTTCAAAATGGCCAAGATACAATACAAAACTACTTGACACAAAATAAGCAGAAAAATGTGACCAGTGGTCAAAGGAAACAACAAACAACAAATGTCAACCCTCAGATGACCCAGATATTGAAATTATTAGACTTGATAACAGCTATTTTTACTGTGCTCCATTAGGTAAAGGTAAACATATTTAAAATGAATAGAAAGATGGAAATTCTCAGTCAAGAAGTAGAAAAATTAAAAGAACCAAATGATGTTTTAGAACTGAAAAATATACCTGAAATTAAAAATGTATTGAAATGGCTCAATAGCAAAATGGATGTGACCTAAAGATAGATCAGCATAAATTATCCAGTATGAAGGACAAAGAGAAAAATCTATTGAAAAAAAAAGATGAACAATATCATAAAAGAAGACAGTATGATAAAATCAAACATATGTTGGCATTCCAGGAGAAGACAAAGAGATTTGTATAGAAAAACATATTTAAAGAAATAATGACCAAAACCTTCTCAAATTTAGTAGGAGAAAAATTAATAGAGTCAAGAGGTTCATTGAATCCCAATACTCTAAACACCTCTAGATACTTCATATACAGCTAATGAACAAATAATGAAAAATTTTTGGAAGTAGCTAGAGTAAAATGACATATTACTTACAGGAGGAGTAATAATTCAAGTGACTAGAGGTTTTACATTAGAAACCACAGAGGCTAGAAGACAGCCTATGTGGTACAAAA